AAAATTACAAAAAATAACAGAAAAATGGAGTAATGGTAAATTAAGTAATTTTGAATACTTACTTAAGTTAAATCAATACGCAAGTAGATCATATCATGACCTTAGTCATTATCCTATATTTCCATGGATTATACAAGATTATACAAGTATTTCCCTTGACTTATCTAATCCTACAATTTATAGACCATTAGAATTACCAATACCTTGTATTAATCCAAAAAGACATTCTGAAGAAATGAAAAGATTTGAAGAATTATTTGGAAAGAATGGTGTACTTAAAGATCAAATTGCATATATTTATCCAACATTTTATTCAGCATGTGATTATGTATTTCATTTCTTAGTTAGAGTTGAACCTTTTACAACAATGTTTATTCGAATGAATGAAAATCATTATGATAGACCTGAAAGAATGTTTTATTCAATTGGACATACTTGGGATATTTGTATGAACTCTACACAATGTAATATAGAATTAATTCCTGAATTTTTCTATCTACCTGATTTCTTAATTAATGAAAATTCATTTGAATTTGGAATAAATCCAGTAACTCAAAGTATGGTTGACAATGTTACATTACCACCATGGGCAAAAAATGCATATGAATTTGTTAATATTAATAGAAGTGCATTAGAATCTCCATATGTTAGTTTAAATATTAATAAATGGATAGATTTAATATTTGGATATAAAAGTTGTGGTGAAGAAGCAAGAAAAGCAGATAATTTATATCATCCATCATGTTATATTGAAAATTTTATTAAAGGTGGAGAAGATGAAGAATTATTAAAGAAACGAGCTATGTTTAGTGGACAACTACCAGTTCAATTATTTACAAAACCACATCCAACAAGAAAATTAGCAATACCACTGATGGTTGATTTATGTGCAAAACGATGTTATTGTAAAAATTTAATTATTCCAGAAATTCCATGTATTAGTTCTTGTTTAGATGATAAAGGAATAGTAATGATAACAAAAAATACAATTTATAGAATACCATATTCTATGGAATATTGTCATAAAAAAGGAACAATTAAAAATAGAATATTTGATCAAAAATTATTATCAAAAAATAAAAGATTTGCTATTTCAAAATGCTATGGTGTTATTCAAATTAATAGTGAACTTAAGCAATATACATTAAAGTCAAATGAAGTTACTTCAATTCATTTATTTGAATATTTAAATAATGATTATTTAGCTTTTGGATGTTCTGATTCATTAGTTGGAATTTGTTGTTTAAATCAACCACAAGAAATTCCAGTTTATTTAAATGTACATCTTAATAAAATTACTTCATTTTTCTTTGATAATAATTCTCATATGTTATTTATTGGTGATGAAAGTGGATTAGTATCATGTTATTCAGCGAATAATTGGAAACATATCTGGCATATTAAATTATTAAATGAACCTACTATATTATCTATTATTACTTATGAACAATATATTTATGTTTCAACACCTTCTATATTATATGCCATTTCTTTTAAAGGAAAAATTATCAGTAAGTTAGATTTTTATGCTCGAGCTCTTGTCAATTCATTTATTCCAGGTACTATTGCGGCACTAACTAACAATAATGTTCTTTGTTTTATTTCAACATCCTTACTTAGTTGTTTACCAATTGATGTAAATATGCCTGACATTTCCAAAGAAGAAGTTATTTCATTACATTATCATCCTAATGCAATCTACATCGTATTACAAAATGGAACATTGTCACGCATTTCCATGTCGTTATTTGATTACTAGTTTTGTTTTTTTCAGTCATTTGTTTTCGTACCAATAAATGCAAGAATAGTTACATTGTTTAAACAAAAGATCTTTTAGTAAGAACTTTGTTTTAAAGAATATATAAAACAGTATTGTCTAACTACTATTTATAGATAATATCTTAAAATATGAAATAAATTAATGAGTGTTATTATGGTTACAACACAAGAACATATCAATCAATTCTTATCAAAAAATGATAAAATTGTACTTGATTTCTTTGTTTGGTGGAAATGTCCTATTCAAACAATAAACACAATTAAACAACTCGCTTCTTCCCATGAAGATGTAATTATTTTATTGATTAATTCTGAAGAGTCATTTGATTTATTGCAAACATTTTCAATATCTTCATTACCAACAATAATTTTTATTCATCGAGGAGTTGAAGAAAAACGAATAAATGATGCATCAATTGATGATTTGTCCAATTTATTATCAAATGAATGTTTTTGTTAATTTTTTTGTTTTAAGGAAGTTGAAAATAATCAAATAATCATTAAAAAATAACTCTTTGTAATTGTTTATACAAATAATTTATTAAGATGTAAATTCAATAACTTTAAACTGAACAAGCATTATTTAAACTTTTATATTAATAGTACATACATATTATTTTTTTCTAACACTATTACAATTGTTGTTGGAACAATTTCATTTGAAAGTATTATTAAAGAGAAAATAAAAACATTAAAAAAAAAGGTAAAATCTAATTTAAAGTTCGATATGTTTTTTTTCTTTAACGATTTGAGTTAGTAATTCATAAGTAATTTTCTCATTCACTGTCTTTTCCGTTTTTAATGAAAGTGTAGCACCAGCAAGTCCATAATAAATTGCTCTGTCAATTGGCTCCCCTCTTTGTAAAGCAGAAACTGTTGATGCAGATAATGCATCACCAGCACCATGAACATCAACAATTGAATCTACTTCGAATGCTGGATAATGTTTATAATATAATTGTTCATTTCTTTTTTCAACAAGCAAACATCCAGAAGAACCTAATTTAACAATTAACGTTTTAACACCTCGATTAATAAATAATTCTGCCATTTTAATACACCCAGTAATATTACCTCCATCACATCCAACTCCTTTATAACCTATTTTCTTACTTAACCATTCTATTTCAAAATTGTTAGGGGAGAAATAATCAATTCGAGACAGTACTTCTTCAGTTAAAATTTTTAATGAAGTTTCACCACTTGGTTCAACCCAAATCTTTCCTTTGGCATATTTTAAAGTTTCTTTAATAACATCTAAATCAAAATTAGTATCAATAACAACATATTTAGCATTAGAAATTTCTTTTTCAAATTGTTGAATATTTTTAACTTTCATTCCTTTTAATGCTCTCCTATCAATAACACCAGCAGTTAATTGACCTGCAGTATCAATCACTCCACTATATACTGGTGTTGAAAATTCACTTTCAATCAATGCATTTGTTTTCATTTTTATATCTGTGAAATATTGTTTTAACATCTTTCCAAGAAGATCATTACCAATTGCACTAATAAATAAAATGTCATTACCAATCCTATGAATATTTTCTGCAATATTATGTCCTACTCCTCCTCTATTTTGAGTAATAATTCCTTCTATACTTACTTCTGGTAAAACATCTGCCTTACTAATAAAATCTATAACACTAGCTCCTATGACTACAATTTTTGAAAGAGGAACTTCTTTCTTAAGAATATCTTCATTAGGATGATTTGTTAATAAATTTAATTGGTGGGCAATTGATGCTCCTATTTTAGCATTATTTTTAATTAATGCAACATTTGCACGAATAGTTTGAGAATTAGAATGTGTATTTAAATAGTTTAATAAAAATGGAGTAGTGGCTTTCCCTTCAATATGATGAATTTCTGCTTCTTTTAGTGCAGTGTCAATCCATTTGTTTACTTGTTCTAATTCAAGAGCATCTTCTTTTGGGATAGGGACTGTGATGAGTATTCCCTTATTAATATTTAATTTTCTATTCCAATATATAATTTCTGCAATAGTATTAGTTTCATTAATAGATGGAATATGAATATTAGAGTTTGGTACATAAAATTGGGGAAGAGTAGTTGTTTGATATCCATAAACAGAAACACCTTGTGTTTCTAAGTATTCAACTGTTTTATTAACATCTAATATAATTTTTGGACCAGCTGATACAACACAAATTGGGTTTGAACCAAGCTCAATAAGGTCAGCAGAAATATCCATTGTAACTTCAGCATTACGATGAACCCCTCCTAGTCCACCAGTTACAAATACTTTAATACCTACCATAGATGCGATCCTTGATGTAGCAGCAACAGTTGTAGCTCCCCATTGTTTCTTAGCAATCACTCCTGCAATATCACGAACACTAACTTTTTCAATTCCTTTTCTTTGAGAAAATTGTGAAATAAGATCTTTACTCATTCCAACATGGATTTTTCCTTCAACAATACCAATTGTTGCAGGTATTGCACCATTTTCTCTAATAATATTTTCTATATCATTAGCAACAAGTTCATTATCAGGATACGGTAAACCGTGTGATATAATTGTTGATTCTAATGCGACAATTGGTAGTTGTTGTTTCATTGCATTTTTTACTTCATCACTCATTTCAATGAACTCAGTAAAATCACCTTTTTCTGAATTCTTTACAGAATTAGTTTTGAAGGATTTAGTAATTTCGGTTATTTCACTTTTAAATAAATATGCTCCTCCTGTTATAGTAATGAGAATTCCTCCTGATATTATTAGTGTAGTAAGTAGAATAGTTATTACAGTTGTATTCATTAAGGAGATAATTTAAGTAGTTTTTCTTTTTTAGTTCTTTCGTATTCCATACTTTTCTATTTTATGTTTTTTATGTTTCTTTAAGTTTTTTATTTTTAAAAGGAAATTCCATTGCATCTTTTATTTTAAAAACTGTTTCATTTTTATTTTACAAACTTCTTAAAATTTGAAAAACAAATTTTATTTAATTTAATGTTTTAATATTTGTTATTTTAATTTTATCTTAATTAATAAGATGTTTTATATTTCTTTTTTTTTTTGTTATTTATCAAAAGAAAAAAAGAGAAGAAAAATAATCTCACAGTTCATCTGATGTCATTTACTTTCATTTTAGATGTTGATGGAACATTGGCTTCTTCAAAGAGAGATGCAGTGAATGAAATTGATAAAAAGGTTATTTTAGAGGAAAAAGAAAAAGGAAATAGAATTATTATTGCAACAGGTAGATCAATTCATGAAACAAAACATATTTTAGAAGCAATTCGGTTTAATGATATTTTAATTAGCTCTAATGGTGCTCTTTCACTTCAGAACAATAAACTATTAAGCTATATGCCAATGAATCCATCACAAGCAAAAATAGTTATTCAATTTTGTAAAGAACAAAAATTAAATGCATGTGTTGTTAGTTGTATAAAAACAAATGATACATTCAAAGAATTATTTTCACAAGTTAAAGAATATCAACCAATAGAAGGAGAAGAATTTTTAGATATTGTTTTATATGCTAAAACTTCACAAGAAAAAGAGCAATGGATAGAATTACTCCAAAAAATCGTTGGTAGTGAATTAGTTGTTAAAAATTCAGGAGATGTTATCATTGAAGTTTTTAATAAAAATTTAAATAAAGGAATGACATTAAAAAGGTTATATGAAATGAATTTACTTGGAGAAGGTAAAAGCCTTGTTTATGTAGGAGATTCAGATAATGACATTCAAGCACTCCAATTTGTTAGAAAGATTGGTGGAATTGCAATTGCTATGGGTAATGCTTTTGATAGAGTGAAAAAAGAAGCGACTTATATTACTACAGATGTAGATAATAATGGAGTTGCAAATGCTATTCATTGGGTTCATTCTTCAAAAAAAAATGAATTAATTTAGTAATGATTTAACTTTTTTTGAATTCATTTCCATTAGTTCAGTTTGATGTTCAACCATTTTAGAATGTACTTCTAATTGTTTAGAACTGGTTTTGATTTCTACATATAGTTGGTTTGATAATTCTTTCATTTCATTGACGTGGTTCTCTAAAACATTCATTTTTTCATTTAATTCTTTATCTGCTATACTTTGGTGAATTTTTTCTTTTATGTAAGCTTCTTCTTGTTTTTCTTGTCTATTCATCTTTTTTCTTCTTCTTTCCTTTTTGTCAAAATAATTTTTTTCTTTCTTTTGTTGTTGGTTTCGTTTTTGGGATAATTTCTCTTCTTTTTTTTCTTGTTTGTTATAATCTTTTTCAACACTTTTTTGAATATCTGTAATTCTTTTTTTAGAGCAACGTCGATCATTTCTTCTAAATAACTCTCTAAGAGATGGTAAAAGCCATTTGATTTTGTGGAGATGTTTCTTTGTCTCTTGTTGTTCAGAGTCAATTGTGATAAGGTCTTTATTGATTCTTTTTAATTGTTGATTTTGTTGTTTCAATTGACTAATCCCATTTTTTCCTATATCAATTGATTCATTAGTAAGGGCAATAGAGTTGTCAATGACGTCAATGTCAGATTGAATTATTTGATTAATTTTATTGTTCATAATCTTTTTCTTCTGTGAAAGCAAAATGTTATTTAAATGAAGTTTTGATAAGATTGTATCTTTAAGTTAGGTGATAAATTCAAGAAAGAAAGAAAAAAAAATAAACGTCGATAAATAAATTCCAGACCATTGATTTTGTTTTTCTATTTTAAAAAAAATAAAACTTTAAAATTCATATTTAGTTAGGGATGTCAAAATGTCGTTTTTTTGCATTAGAAATTAGAGAGTTTACAAGTTATTTAAATTATAGGACATTAGAAAGACTAAGAATTATTAATAAACGATATTTTAAAATAACACAAAAGTTATTACAAGTAAATGTATTCGATATTGACGGTAAACGATTTGTTAAATCTATGATTGTATCAAATGTAGTTAATATTTTACCTACATTCACACCTCCTACGAAGAATCATCTTTTTAAGAATTTGAATTGGGTTGGTTCAATTCTTGGAAATCCAACAATAATCTTTGATTATAGTGCAGTTGTTTCTCCTAGCCAAATGGAAACAATAATGCAAATTAAAAAGGCTAAACGACTTGAGGTAGTTATGGATGTTGGCTCTGCTTTAATTCACAAAAATGGAGTTAAAGGAGTAGTTAAACATTTCCCTCAACTCAGACAACTTAAATTATCAATTGATCCTGGTGAAGGAAATGAAAATCAAAGAGAAGCACTTAAAGATTTAACTAAATTAGTTCATCTTTCTTCTCTTCAAACATTTGCATACCACCATAATTTCATACATTTTAATAAACTTAATTATCTTAACTTATTTATTAATGATAGTATTGACTTTGATTATTTTCTTAATGATATTCCTCAACTCATTACTGTCCAACATCTTACTCTTAGAACAAACAGTGAAGTCCAATTACCTCATTCTTCTATACTTCAATTAACATCATTAAAATCACTTGAAATATTAAACTTATCAATGTGTAATTTCAATTTTAGTAGTGAATTGGTTTCATTACAATCAATTTATAGAATCAAAAAGATTTTTCTTTCATTTGATATAAACATTACTAATGAAATTATTGACCAACTATACTTATTTCCTTCTATCTTTATTATTCAACTTAGTTTTACAATTGATGGTAGTAATGAACTTCCAAATAGATTATTTCCTCCAAATGTTTGTATTTCTACAGTAACAATACAAGAAGTAGTTCAGGAAAATGACTTTATAACTTCAGTAATATCAAAAGCTGATGTACTAACAACAGATTTAACTAATATTCAATTTAATCCTAATACATTAGTTACTGTTTTAAATCATTTAACTGATTCAAGACTTCTTAGATTTGACAATACTCCTTTTTTAGTTTCTGTATTACTTTGTGGTGATTTAGACGATAACTCAATTCAGTCACTTCTTACATTAAAATACCTGAAAAAATTTAAATTATTTGATGGGGCAATACCAACACTCTCCTTCCTTTCTCATTTTAATTTGGATACATTGGCAATTGTTAATTCTACTTATCCTATTAATGATTTTCATTACATCACTGAACACACCTCACTTCTAATTATTACATTATTAGTTTCATGTGAGTATTTGACTCAAGAACAAAATTCTAAATTAACTCAAATGCCATTTCTTCAAATGCTACGAACTTATTATTGTTCAATTTCACTTGATAAAACGTTCCATCCATTTAGAATTCAATACTAAAATTCTACCTTTTTTTGTCATGTAACCTCCATTTCATTCTTTTTTTACTAGTTTTAAAAAAAGAACTTAAAATAAACAATAAAGTTCATGTCTCAACAAAGTCCTACTCATAACCAAACATTTAATTTTGATCATTCTTCATCATCAAGTTCTTCTCTTGTTATTTTTAACCAAATTGAACGAAAAATAAATGGTAAATTAGTAAAAGAACGTGTTCCTGTAATATTTGCTTTTGCAATGAATGGTAAAAGAAAAGAACTTTTTGATAATGAGCTACTACCACCTCATCTTAGCGAAAAAGATTCAAAAATTAACTGGGAATCCCCTTTAGATAAAAGTTCAGTTATTCATATGGCTGCAATTTACGGTAAAACAAATTTCGTTAAACAACTACTTTCAGTTGGAGCTGAAATTGCTATCCAAAATAATGATGGAAATACTCCGTTAATTGCTGCAATTAAAGCTGGAAGAACTAAAATTGCAGTGGTTTTAGCTCGTAAGATGTCTAAAGACCAAATCAATCATCAAAACAAAAAAGGAGAAACTGCATTATATTGTTGTGTTATAAAAGAAAATGTAGTTGTAATGGAATCACTTATTAAACATGGTGCAGACGTTAATATAGCAACACAAAATGGAACAACCCCATTAATGCTATCACTATATAAAAATTTTCCTGATATAATCAAAATACTACTTAATGCAAATGCTGACACAACCTTAGTTGATTCAAATGGTCAAAACTGTCTTCATTACTATGCTAGAACAGAAAAATATCAACCACAAACCATAAACTGCATTCGAACTATTTCAAAAAATAAAACACTCTTCAATTCTCTTGACAAAAGTGGTCATAAACCAATTCATTATGCTATTGAAGTTGGAATAGCTGATATTATTAACCAGTTTCTTTCAATGTCCTCTTTAAAAGATGTTGGAATAGTATACACTGAAGTAGAAACTGTCTGTAAATCAACACAAAGAAAAAGAGCATTAACTGGAAGAGATAGAGTTAGTGTTGTCATAAAAACAGACTCTTTAGGTTATGAAATTAATGCTGCCAATAAACCAAAAGAAATAGATGATTATATCAACAATGAAGAACGTCAACAAAAATGGGATGAAATGATCAAATTTTATCAAGACAAACATAAATTTCATCCAAAACTAATATTTAGATTATACAAAGGAGTTCCTTGTAACAAACGTCAAGACCTATGGAAAATAATGCTTGGAATAGATGAGATGATAAAGGAAAAAGAGGGTGAGTTCTCTAGATTAGCTTTATTGGAAAGAGGTGTTGAAGAAGACGACCAAATTCATAAAGACGTAATTCGAGCTCATCAAAACAATGTTAAATTTATGTGTAAATTCAGTGACGGACAGAAAAAATTATTTTTAACATTAAGGGCTTACGCCAACAAAGACACTGAAGTAGGGTATGTCCAAGGACTTGCTGATTTATTTGGTTTTTATGTTTTAGTGTTTAACACTGACGAAGAGACGTTTTGGGGAATGTACCAAACGTTGAATTTATCAAAATATCAACTAAGGTGTTGTTTTTTAAGAGGATTTCCTGGTGTTCAAAAGTTTAAAACATTAGAAACGTTAATGCTCAAAAAATACCACCCAGAAATTTACACAAAAATTATGAGGTTAGGAGGTTATGACAGTCTTTATCCTCATTTATTAGAATACTACGCATTATGGTTTTCAAGACTATTCACAGGAGATCTTGGTATTTGGATTTTAGATATCATCATTGTTGAGGGTTGGCAACTCACACTAAGTATTGCTTCAACAATCTTCTTTTTATTAAAAGACAAAATAATGGACGAAGAAGACGACTTAATGTCAATCGACATTTTATTAAAAAAGCCCCAACAATTGGTAACTGATTTCGACAAGTTTTTATTCATCAAGTATGTTAAAAAGAATAGAATCCCTCCTTCACAAGTTGACAAATGGGCATCTCAATGTATAGAATCTAATTAACATTTTTTCACTTCTTTTTTTCTTGAAATAAAAGGGAACTAAGAAAAGTATTATGACTGAACCCATGGACATCATCAAAAATATTGAAGAAGACGATACATTCGAAATCATCCAAGATAAAACAAAAATAACAGAAGCCGCTAAAAACCCAATTCAATGGTCAACTCACTGGGAAGATAACCAACGAGATGAATACGTGAAAAAGATCCAAACAGCCTTAAACCAAAAGTGATTGTTTTTTTTTAATATTTCAAAGAAAAAAAAGAAAAAAAAAAAGGAAAAAAAAAGGAAAAAAAAAGGAAAAAAAAAGGAAAAAAGATAAAAGAAGAAGATGAAAAAGAAAGAAGGAAAAGAAATAGAAGAATGTATTGAAGAAAGTGGATATCAAGAATTAATTTGGGCGATAGAAGGATATACAAGAAGAACGGAGAAGGTAATTAAAGTAATGAAAGAATATATGAATACGGAGAAAAGATATAAAAGACCAGAAGAAGGAGAAGGGTTTAAAGCATGGGAAACACATTATGATCAAATAGATGAAATGTTTCTGAAGAAACAAAAGATTTATTATGAAATCAAAGAAATAGAAAAAGAAGGAGAAAAAATGATGGAAAGAATAAGAGAAACAGGAGAAGAAGAAGAAAAGAAAATGCGAGGATTAACATCATATATGAACAAAGTCATAAATAATATGATAGGAAAACGAGAAGAAGAATATGAAAAACAAATAGAAGGGAAAACAGAAGAAGAACAAGAAGAAAACATGAATAAATTAAAGAAAGAAATTGAAGAAATGGAAAGATTAAAGAAAGTTGAAGTAGTTAAATTTGTAGGAGAAAAGAAAAAGAAAAGAACAAAAGAAATAACATATTATATTCCAAAACCAAAAAATTAATTTTTTTTTTTATTTTATTTTATTTTTTTTATTTTTTAATTTAAAAATAAATTATAAAATAAATTATAAAATAAATTATAAAATAAAATGATGTATATTTTTTTATTTTTTATTTATTCTTTTTTTTTTATTTATTCTTTTATCATTTTTTTCTTTTTATCTTATTTCTATTTTAAAAATCAATAATATAAATATAATAATTACTTATTTATTTGAATTTATTATTTTATAATATTTATAAATCATTAATAATAAATAATAATAAATAATAAATAATAAATAATAATAAATAAAATGAAATTAATAAGTTTAATAAATAATAATAATAATCATAGATTTCATATATTATTTTAAAATTATTCATTTTATTTTATAAATTCAATAAAATAAATGATTATTTCATTTTTATTATATTATTTTATCTTTTCTCATTTTATTCATTATCTTTAAATAATAAAGAGAATAAAATAATATATAAATATCAAATCAATTTCATTTTATTTAATCATTCTTTTAAATATTCACATTTCAAATATATTATTACATAATATAAATAATATAAATATCAAATCATCAAAATATATAAATAAAATATATAAAATATAAATAAAATATAAATAAAATATAAATAAAATATATAAAAAAAGTAGTTAATTAATTGATAATAGAACTTGTGTCTATTGTTCCTGGCTCAATGGAGAATAATCCCATCAATGAGTCTTCATCATGTATTTCAAAAACATATATTTTGTTATAGTCTCCACAGTGTTCCATGAGGTCCATCATGTTCCTAATTACAATGTTTTTAATTTCTTTATGATTTCAATTTCGATTTTTAATTATTTAATTAATTTAATACATTCTGTATTTATTAAATAATTTATTGAAATTATTATTGGAATTATTTTGACATCCTTTAATTTCTCTATTTTTATTAGCCTATTTTTTAATTCCTTATACTTATTTCTTTTCTTCAAATACCCTCTATTAATATTATGATCTGCCACAATCATCATATCAAATATTAGACATGTTTTATTCTTTTTATTTATTACATATATATCTATGGTATTTTATGATATTGTCCATCATTTTTTAATATTAATTGTTTTTTCCATATCATAATAATGTCATTATATTTGAACACTGTTTCATATGGGGATTTCTTGTATTGATTATTTCATATGTATTTTCTTATTATCCCATATGATAATGCCAATATTGTCATATATTTCAATTTGTGATTTCTTATGACAAATACAAGATAATAGAATGAGTTCTACTGTTGATATATTTTATTTACAAAGTGGATAGTACTTCAATCTTTCATTTTTTAATATTTTATCTTTCCTGTACACACTAAATATTGCTCTATTTTATATTTTATTTAATTTGAGAAATGAATTTTTCTTAATATTGATTGACTTCCATGCATTTGTTGTAGTATTTTATCTACAAATTTTGACTCGAACCATCTTCTAAAATGTCCACTTATTTAATTTCCATTTTTTGATGTATTTGTTGGTCATTAATTTCTTTATTTTTACTACTACTTCTTTTTCTTTTTTATTTTCAATAAATTCATTTATTATTTCTTCTATTTGAATCTCTGTGATTTTATGACATAGTGATTTTTTAATTCTATTCAATATTCATTTCTTTGAATATTATCTATCTAATATATTATTTCTTATTTCACTCTTGTATATTAGTACATTACTGTTCTGATTAATTCAATAACATATTCGTCACTTAGGCTTATTAATCCTTCACCCATTTCATTTATAGGGACATATAGACGGTCTTTGGAGTTACAACAAATGTATTTTGCTTTTCTTAAATATTTTCTTATCTCAAAATCCATTCTATCTAGGTCAGTTACTTCCAATTTATTACTGATACTGAATATCTTCAGATATTGATTACTTCAATATTAATTATTGTAATATATCTTCTATTACTACTTTCATCAGTATTTATTTCTTCCATTTTCTTCATCATCTTTTATTTGATGATTTTACAATTGAATATATCATTAATTTCATCGGACTGTCATACTCCTAAATATTTATACAAGTCCTCTCCTTCAATTAATGGGATGTTTTGTATTCCATCTGGTATTTTATTAATGTTCTTTTTAATACCATTCCTGATTTCTTTTCATTTCCATCCCTATTCCACTTATTATTTGTTTAATTTCATTGTGGATTGTTCCCATTTCTTCACTACTTTGTGTCATTATTCTCAATTCATCCATATACAATGTATGGTTTGATTTTGGGAACTTTTCTTCTATGATTTGAGAAATTATATTCATTTGGATGATGAAGAGTAGAGTTGATAAGGAATCACAATATAAAATTCATCAATTTAATACATCCTAGATATTCATTATATTTATATCCTATGAATATCTTCCATCTGTTCATCATGCTTTCTACAATGTCTATGATGACACCCTTTACATTAAAATATTTTAATGCTTCTATTACCCATTCATGATTTACTGATTCATATGCTTTCTTAATATCATAATATGACTCTACATATTTTGTGTATTTTTCTTCTTTTTGCTGATTTAACATATAACTATTAATTAATCGTTCTTTATCAACAAGAGATTGGAGTTTACATCATAATTGATTTTTACTAATTTTTAATGATTCATTAATCATGTTAATTCTATTATGAATATTATCTTTTAATATGGAGGTAAATATTTTCATAATTACATTTATACAAGTGATATGATGATAATTAATGACATCATTCCTATCACCTCATTTGTTGATTAATATAGTTCTTCCACTTACCATATCTAGAGTGATGAATTCATTGAAGTTTAACCATTCGTTGAAGATATTAAGAATGGACTCTCTTGATGATGACATTCTCTTCTAATAATACAAATATATAGTGTCAATACCTGGTGATTTCCAATTACTTATTTTCATCAAGCTTAGATTTAGTTCATCCATTGAGATGATGACACTATCATAATTTCTGTATCTTTCATTCCACAATGTGATTTAATTTATTTTCAAAAGTTCTTTATTTAATATCACCTATGTTTCATATAACGATTTCCAATATTCTAAAGTAATATCGTTATTTGGGTATATTTCATTTTGTTTTTCTTCTTTATTTTAATTTTTTTTATTAGAATCAAACATGATTTTAATTGTATTGATTCTGATAATTTCATTTTTATTAAATTTAATTCTTTCTTTAATCATTATCATCATATATTTTAGGTACTTTATTCATTCATGTAATTTAATTTTAATTTCATCTGCATCTTGTTCATTTAATCTCATGATGCATTTTATTCTGTACCATTCCATTGATTAGATCTTCTAACCTATTTATTTTCTTTATGATTTCTTTTATTTTATCAAATTTATTTCATTTAAATTTATTTTAGAGATAATAATACATACACATTGAAATTATTTTCATATCTTCTTGCAGATTTTCTATTCTGCTTCCTGACCATACCCATTTATTATTTATTTCTCTAATTAATTTACTGCTTCTTTCATTTTCCAGTAATAATTAATAATTACATATTTATCTATTTTCATTTCTTTAAGTTGAATAATGATAGAGTTAAGGTATTCATCATCAATATCAGTAGAATTATTTTTTATGATAATATTTTTTATTATTGAATTACACTCTACTTTCCCTTCTATGATGGAGTTCATTTCATTTTAATATTATTTTAGTTGATTATTTTATTCTATGTGATATTTTAATATTATTAATATATTCTTTATAATTATTTACATTATTATTTATTATTTTTATTATATTTTCTATTTGTTCCCATCTTAATTTCTTATTTAATTTCTTATTTAATAAATTAATTTCAAAACAATACAACACATCAATTAAAATTCTATTTGTTTGATTTATTGTATTTGAATAAAAAGATATAATAATATAAAAAAAAGAAAAAATAACAAAATAGTAAAAAATAAGAAATAATAGATATATCCACAATTTTATTTTCATCATAATGAGAAATGATTATTTCAATTTCTTCAATATGTTATATTTCTACAATAAAGTTCATTTCTAATATACTTACATTAGAATAATC